TTATTATTTACCACCTTAAATTGTGCGGAGAAAAGGATTGCAAAGTAGCCACCCTTGCAATCTTATCTCCGAAGGGGGGAACTGTAGCAGGAACCCCCCCACCCCAATCATTCTGTTTGTACAAACTTCACACATACTCACACTCACACACTACATACGCCACATTTCTCTTATGAATTCATAGAAAATCAACCATACATCGGATTTGCACTGTTCCATTTTTGTTTTAATATCAAAGGAGGGTGGCTTGGTTTCTGGTCAGCCATAATCTCTTCAGCATACCAGCACATCCACAGGAGCCCTGCCCAGTTGCTATGTCAACCCTGATAATCCCAGACAGAAGACAATCAAAATCACAAAGAACAGTGGATTCACCACAGGCTGAAACAAAGGACAATGATCAGATCTTCCCTCTGGGGGCAGGAAACTGCAAACTCCCCATTGTCACCTGGAAAGTACTCATGGGGAGGGGGAAAGGAGGAACCAGCCAGGTGACAGGACACTCAGGTTACCACCACAACTCCTCCCTCAACCCCTCCTTTCTGTAATGTATGCATGATGTCAACCCTTTCTGTAATGTATGCATGATGTTTCTGGGGGTGGGCTTGACCTAGAGGAGGGGAATTTCAAAAGTTTTTATAAGGTCTTGCAGCCCATTGTTCTGGTCTTTCCTCTCTCTTGCAAGGGAAGGGAATACCCTGTTGCAACAGTTCAATAAAGGCCAAGCCTACAGGCTGCTGTTTTGCTCCAAGTTATCCTGGTTGGTGTCTTTGTTTTGTCCAAGAGAGCCCTCGGATTTTTCCGTTAACATCCCCCAAAAACCTTATTATCATATCAGCACTCTTCATGTTTTAGCCTTTCTCTGAAGTAGTGAATAGCAAGTTCTTCTTTATCCTCCAACTCAGGCTGCATTAGTATGGCAATTTATTCAGTTTCCCTAACTGTTAATTTCTGTATTATATTTGAACTTTCATGTGTCATAAAAGGCACTTCTGGAAATCTAGTGGAATATAGTGAAAACTTGGCACTAATTTCTGTGTTAACTGGTTCCAGAAACAATATATTTGCAACCCTAACCCAGAAAATAGGAGTAAAGTGATAAAATTTGAGGCAGAATATAGGCATATAGTCCTTTCCTGCCATTTTCTGGGTGAATCATGGAGCAACTGGACAGAAGATTATAATCAGGAAAGCTAATGCAATATAATATAATACATGGATAATTACACCTTCAGACTTGAAGCAAATTCAGGAGTACATGTATAGTATTTCAGATAAATTTAAATTTAGGGAATTTAGGGAAGGAAGGAATAGAAGCTATTTGTTTCCCACCATAAACAAGAAATTAAATATTTTGTCTCTGAATAAGCATTAAAAATTGCAGCCCACTACTGATAATTGTTATAGAGAGTTAAAAAAATGTCACATGCTCACTTAGGAGCACTTTGAAAGATTTACAATACATACTATACATACTGTACTATACTGTACTAAATTTAAAAGGGGGCGTTATTGCAGAGGCTGTGCAAGTTTAGTCCAATGATCAAATCCAAAACAATAAAACTCATACAAGTAAAACAAATATTAAATTAAGGATTAGGAAAACTGTTAATTCTGAATAATTCTAAACCGTGCAAAACACCACCTACTTATCTGAGATCTTTACCCTAAAATTTTGGGTAACCTCAAGGCAATCTTAAAAGATTAGGATTAAGAGATTAAGAGCGGGTGGCGCTGTGGTCTAAACCACTCTTGGGCTGCTGATCAGGTTGGCGGTTTGAATCCCCGCCACGGGGTGAGCTCCCATTGCTCGGTCCCTGCTCCTGCCAACCTAGCAGTTCAAAAGCATGCCAAAGTGCAAGTAGATAAATACCGGTAGGTACCGCTCTGGCAGGAACGTAAACGCCGTTTCCGTGCGCTGCTCTGGTTCGCCAGAAGTGGCTTAGTCATGCTGGCCACATGAACTGGAAGCTGTCTGCGGACAAACACCGGCTCCCTTCCCGCCAGAGATGAGCCAGATGAGTGCCACAACCCCAGAGTGGTCCGTGACTGGACCTAACAGGGGTACTTTTACCTTTACCTTTTAGGTCTGCTGTGGGGCCAGAATCTTTTACTGTGATATCCTGGGACTTTATTTTAATGATAGAATTGTAGAGTTGAAAGGGACTTCAAGGGATGAAATGCAGGTATCTCAACAAAAGCATACATGACAGAGTGCCATCCAGCCTTGGCTTAAGACACTGTCAAACAGCACTTATCGTCAGAAAGTTCTTCCCAATGTTTGGTCAAAATCTCCTTTCTTGTAACTTGAATCCATTGGTTTGGGTCCTACCCTCCAGAGCAGAGAAAATCTTATTCCATCTTCCATGTAGCAGCCAGCCCTTGAGATATCTGAATGTGGTTATCATCTCTTCTCTCAGTTTCTTCTCCAGGCTAAACATACCCAACGGCCTCAATAGGCTTGGTTTCCTGAACCTCTCCTCTGCACATGTCCCATCATGTCAATATCCTTCTTAAACACCAGACTTAGATATTTATTTCTTAAACGGCCATACCCTGACCTGCACACAGTACTCTCGGTGTGGTCTAACCAAGGTAGAATACAGTGGTACCTAGGGTTAAGTTATTAATTCATTCTGGAGGTCCATTCTTAACCTGAAAATGTTCTTAACCTGAGGCACCACTTTAGCTAATGGGGCCTCCTGCTGTTGCTGCGCCGCCGCTGCACGATTTCTGTTCTCATGCTGAAGCAAAGTTCTTAACCCGAGGTACTATTTCTGGGTTAGCGGAGTCTATAACCTGAAGCGTATGTAATCCGAAGTGTATGTAACCCAAGGTACCACTGTAGATCTATTTACTTCCCTTGATTGGGACACTGTTGATGGTAGCATTAGCTTTTTTTGCTGCTGCATCCCATTCATGTTCACCTTGTGGTCTACTAAGACCTGTAAATCCTTTTCACATGTACTACTGGTAAACAATGTGTTCCCCATCTTATATTTCTGCAGCTGGTTCTTCCTGCCTAAGTGAAGCACCTTACATTTGTCCCTACTGAAATTGTGTTAGTTTGCGTCCAGCTCTCAAACCTGTTAAGGTCATATTGAATCCAGATTCTGTCTTCAGTGGCATTTGCTACCCCTTCCAGTTTGGTGCCATCTGCAAATTGTATGAGCATCGCTTCATTACCTGCAATCTAAGTTGTTTATAAAGATGCTGAACAACAGGACCAGGACAGAACCCTGCAGCATCCCACTTGTCCTTTTTTTCCAGGAGGAGGAGGAACCATTAGTGAGCAATCTTTGGGTTTGGCCAGTTAACCAGCTACAAATTCACCTAAAAGTTAAGCTCATCCAGCCCACATTTTGTCACAAAACCTGTTGGAAACAACCAGGATAACTTGACTTCAGGTCTTCTATCAAGGTCCAGCTTTTATTATTGCATTGGTATTTATTTTTGCCTCTCATTGATATAATTATCTTATATACAGTGCTAATGCTCCTGCTCTCCCGTTCTGCTTTGGAGGAGGGGGAATTCTTTATGTAGACTTTATGTTCTGGTTTGCTCTCTATACAACTGAAAAACTAATAAAAATATATTTCTTCTAGTTCATCCCAGTCTAAAACAGAAAATTGTACCTATGTAATTCATTCAAACTCCAAACAGCAGACGTAAGAGGCCTTTTCAAATAGTTGCACCCAACCTGGTGCTCTCCTGATGTTTTAAGGTTACAACTTCCCTCAGCCAAAGCCAGCTGCCAGCACCTGCATCCAATCCAGCAAATATGTGGCAGCAGGATTTCTGCAGTCTCAAATATCTGGAGGGCACAAGCTGTCCTAGAAACGGGTCCAACCTGCAATTTCCCAGTACTAATAAGATCATATTTTTTGATTGTCTTTTATCCATCTGCCAGGCTTAAATAAACAAGTGCTAGATAATTTGCCTGTTGTTAACATACGTCCCCACCATGTCCTCCAAAGGGTAAGAAATATAAGCAAGACTATAGAAGTATACAAGAATAACCAGATGCACAAAACAGTGTGAAGATAATGTGCATGATAGCCCAGGGGTTGGGGGCGGGGGGAGAAGAAACACACTTTCAACTCTGTTTGCATCTCAAAACATTTATTTAGAAGCTAACATTGCAGTTGACATCTGTATTTTCCCTCCACCTTGTGGTACTGTGCAAAGGTGAGAAGTAGCAGTAGCTAAACAAGCTGTTGAGATTGAATAAAGAAACTTGCTTTGAGGTACTGACAACTAGTAGGGGAACTTGGCCTTGGTAAGAAGGCAAAAATATATAAATATATCCACTCTAAATATCACAAAAACCATTTAACACTAAATTCAGGTGGGGCAACAGTCAACATCAGGTAAACTGCAAACAAGAGCCATTTTAACGCTGCTGTAAATCTTCCAGGTTACTTTATCTGACTCTGCTGCCAGTACGAATACAGAAGCGCTGCAGTGGTTGCTTTAAGGGCTGTGCACAGGAACATGTCAGGGGGGAGCTCTTATTCATCCCACGCTCTCCATCTACTGCTACACGTTGCTCAGAGCAGCCACACCAGGAAGAACTTTACCTGCAAAGCGTAAGAGACACAAACACATATAAAGATGATGCATCATGGAACATCTTTTAACACATCTATAAAGAATCTATAAAGGATGGTACATGGAAACTGACTTTGGCTGACACTTTCATGACTGCCTTATATCAGGCAGGTGTCTTTGCTGTACTTTTTTTTTGCATCTGCTAAAAACATTCTTGTTTAGACAAGCCTGTCCAGATGCTCAGAAAGTTGATGTGTATTTTAGCCTGTCTTCAGTCTATTGTTATTTTAACGTGGAAGGTTTTAAATGGAAAAAAATATTGTTGATAATTGTTTTTATTTTTTTGTAAACAGCCTTCAGATTTTTGACTTTTTTTTACAGTCAAGCAATATTTAAATTTTATGGCATAAAATATAGTTTATTTTTAATAATTTATTTTAGATTTTCTGTACCCCACCTTTCCTCCAGATTGGAGACTTGCAGTGTTTTGGTGGTCAAGGAATCACACACCCCTGCACCTTTGGAAGTTTTAAGCAACATCACAGGAATCTTCATAGGACCAAGGTGAAACTGCCAAGCTCCCTTGTTATTTTAGCTATCGAGAGATATTTGCTATTATGTTGCTATGAGATTATTTTCATGATGGTTGATTTTGGGACATACTTCTTTGTGGTTGTAGATCTGCGCATGATTCTTTTTGTGAAAGGGCAGCATACAAATAATAGTATTATACATGACAGGGGCCCCAATGTCGTTCTTCCCAGCCTCCGTCTCACTCTTGGGAATCCCCCCCAGGCCACACACCTACACTCCTCTGCTTCACACCCTCCTTCAGAGTTTTTGCCTGACTTTAATGTATCTTTGATAATGCAGTCTGTTTTCTTTGAAGGAGGATAGAAAGGGGGTGTGTGTGTGTGTGTGTGTAGAGCAACTAGCCTAAGGCACGGAAGCAAAATTTCTATGAATACAGTGGTGCCCCGCAAGACGAAAAACTCGCTAGACGAAAGGGTTTTCCGTTTTTTGAGTCGTTCCGCAAGACGAATTTCCCTATGGGCTTGCTTCGCAAGACAAAACGTCTTGCGAGTTCTTGCAAGTTTGTTTCCTTTTTCTTAAAGCCGCTAAGCCGTTAATAGCCGCTAAGCCGTTAATAGCCGCTAAGCTGCTAATAGCCGTGCTTCGCAAGACGAAAAAACCGCAAGACGAAGAGACTCGCGGAACGGAAAACTCGCGGAACGGATTAATTTCGTCTTGCGAGGCACCACTGTATCTCCACCCAGTTTTGCCTCAGGTGCTGCCCATGATTTTCATGTGGCCCTTGGAAGGCTGTCCAGGAGAATGCACTCTTGAGCTGAACAAAAGACCCAGAACACATATGAGTGTTTTTTTTTTAATGAAAAGGAAAAATACCCACACATTGAATTCTGCCTAGAAATTATTTGGTACCCAATAAAGGTTAACAGAGATGTTACATCTACAAAGCCTGAAACCCATCAGCAGTCTAAAGCTGCAATCCTAATCCCCACATAGTTCAACAGGATTTACTTCTGAGTAGATGTGGTTAGGATCGTGCCATAATTCTGCCAACACTTTCACCTTTCTACTAAAATAGGTTTAAAAGCTTAATTGACAGGTGCTTTCACATAGAACCAGAAACAGTTCTTTTCAGAACAGCGGAGTAATCCAGTGCCAGACTTCTCAGAGGTAAGCCTCTTTTAATTCAATATATTCCCAGATAAATATGATTGGGGCTGCATCTTAAAACCCTAAGATTATTTTTATTTTTTTCTCTGAATTTCTGACACACATCTTGCACTGTGCAACTTAGTTAATATCATTAAGTTTGCTGCTGGGGTATTAGTCAGGATTGTGAAAAACTTTAAATGCTGATCTGTATAGAAAGCACAGTCACAGTCCTGAAGGTGGACAGATAATAAAGTATTAAAATTGCCTCAAGTGCTGAAAGCTCTCCATGAGCACCCTCTGAGTAAGCTTATAAAGAGGCCTATTATCATTCTGGGGCAGGCTGGGGGTAAGAATGAGGCAGCAGTAGCCGGTCTAAAAGCCACTTAGTGAGATTTTGAGCAAGGCCTTTTGACAAACTCAGGCCACTGCTATCATTTATTGCCTTTCTATCCCCTCTGTCCTCCATGGTTCTCCTCCCTCTCCATTTTAACCTCACAACCACGCTGTGAGGTAGGTTAGACTCACTTTTATCTTATTTACAATGAATACAGACACACACGACTCCCTCTCCATGGTACATTGTGAAATTTGGCTTTCCAAATGGCCTTAAGTAAGTCTTAAGTAAGTAAGGCTTTCCAAATGGCCTTATTTACCTAAATCTCCTCCAGATATACTGCACTGCTTTTTTGTATTTGTAAAACCCATTATTTTTATTGTATTGCTTGATGTACTCCAATACAAAATTATTTTTTAACCAAATTCTGCAATCTGTGACTTTTTATCCAATTCCTTTCTCCCCAGTCTGAAGCTGCCTAACAATTCTTCTACAGTTAAGGAAAAGGAGTTTGGTGCAATTTAAAACTCTGAAGTTTAGTGCCACTTAGCGAAGCCTACATTTCCCAAAATGCCTTCCTTTGGTGTGTATACCATTGCAGGTCTCCTTTTATTGGTCTGCATTTTTTCCTTTCTCCACTACTTCCTAGGCAACAGAAACAAAGCCCTTTCAGAACATAACTTTTGGTAACAACAGCTGACGAGTCCAGTGCCACCTCTTTCTTTTTTAGGGGGAAGGCACTAGGATTTGGAAAATGTACATATATTAAGAAACAGCTAATTACCAGAGGAAGCTCCCGAGAGTCATTCATGAAACAACAGCACCCACAAAAAACTTCCATTGACAATGCTGATTGAACACTGAGTAAATCGACACGGGACAGTAACCCAGCTCAGTGGTGAACCATCTGCTTTGCATGGAAAAGGCCCCATGTTTGATCCCCCAGTGGCATCTCCAGGTGGGGCTGGGATCTTGGGGAGCCACTGCCAGTGAGTGTAAACATTGCTAAGATGGATCAAGGGTCTGACTCAATATAAAGCAATTTCCTAAACTGTTTCTATTATAGACAGCTCTTTTAAAGAGCTGCAAATATGAGGGCAACTCTTTAGTCCTGGAATTGCGAGCCATATGAAAGAGTAGGGAATGAATTTGGTTAAGTGCATAAGCTTTTTTTTGGCCGGGGGGTGGTGGACACACATAGTAAACATTAGTTTCACCCCTTTGTTTAGTCGAGGCACGTGGCCAGAAATTATGTCCTGGGTCTGGGTTTTATGGAGGCCTCAGTCCGAGCGCTTGAGAGATGTAGACCTTTTTCTTGTCACCATCATTATGCAAAACTGCAGCTGTCATGAAAATGGTCCCTATGTGGAGTCTGCTGGAACAATCACAGGCACCAGCTACTCTACTTGTCTTGCCCCACCCCCCTGCCCAAGAACCTTAAGAGGAGGAACTGCTCTTCCTGTTCTCTCTTGCTTTCAAGTCTTTCACTGGGAATAATCTGCTGCCTTTTTGTCAAGAAAATGAATGTATCAATACTTTTGAAATATTAAGATTTTTATTTTATTGTATTGTATATGCATTTGTATTGTATTTGCATTATTTTATATTATTGTATATGTATGCATCTGTTTATTCTTGAGAGCCTTTGGACTGAAAAGGGAGGTTGGGTGGCCATCTGTCATGGATGCTTTAGCTGAGATTCCTGCATTGAAGGGTATTGGACTAGATGACCCTTGAGGTCCCTTCCAACTTTACAATTCTAAAGAAACAAACAGTAGTATAACATGACATTGATTTTCTTTAGCCACCTGGTCTTTGAAGAGTAATCATGTGTGTGGATAGCTGTAAGAATGACCAAGGTACAAAAAAACATACAAGCAAAATTAATCCCCTGGACATCTAAGGAAGAGGGAGGAAAACACACACTACCTTCTAGGAGTTCCAAGCTGGCACCACCTCCAGTGCTAACATGACTAACTTTATCCTCGGTGTTCCATTTGGCACAGCATGTAGCAGTGTCTCCACCACCTGTTCAAGAAAACACAGTCAAGGAACCTGAAAATGGTTTTGGACGCATAATTTGGAAGCTTAACTGCGAGGTCGCCTTACCCCATACACTGGCATGGTGATAGGTGCCACATAATACTTTTTGCATTTGTAAGAAACTGGTATTTTAGTGTGGCAGGACCTATACTTTGGAACTCCCTGCCTATAGACATCAGGCAGGAGCCATTGCCATACTCTTTTTGGCGCCTGCCTAAAATGCCAAGTTCACCTGTGGGACTTATGGCCAGGGCTGCTGCAATAAACAGGTGTGCAAGCCTTTGGGAGGCAGAAATGCAAGAGGGCATCAGAGGGAAGGAAAGAGGGACAGAGGCCAGAGTTGCCTGCAGCACCCCTGACTATCATTCAAGGCACCCCAGGGGCACACTGGCTGAAAACCACTGCACTAAAGGGATTACTGGGGTGTGTGCTAAGAGGCAAGGGGGTCACTGGAGATTAAAATGACTATGAGACTTTGAAAGGCTGGTATCACTGGAGCAAGTTCATCAGTTAAATAGTTTTAATTGGATTCTGAATAAATGTGCAATTAATTGTTACTATTTTGAATTTCATTGTTACTATCTTTGTTATTGGGTTGTAGAATCTGCTTTTCTGTTTAATCAGTTAGGGTAGGACAGGGGGTACTGGGAATGAGTTTGTGAAACCAAGGGGGCAAAATGTTTGGGAACCACTGGCTTAAAAGCTCGGTCCCAGAGTCTGACCATGTATAAGGCAACTTCTTACGCCCTTCTTATGAAGAGAAAATAAATAAATCAAGTATTCCAAAAGACTGAAAAACTATTCATTTGAACTGGAGATGACAACGAATGGTGGATCTTACCAATGATGGTGATGGTGCCTTTGGATGTAACTTCCACAACTTTATCCATCACAGCTTTAGTTCCTTTAGAAAACTTGTCCCACTCAAAGACACCAACTGGACCGTTCCATACAATCAGCTTGGCCCTGCCCACTGCTTCCACAAACAGCTTAACACTTTCAGGACCACAATCCAAACCCTAGGATCAAAAAGGGGAGGGTGGTAGCTGTTCAGCCATTGCACCAGAAAGATCAAACAAGTAGAAGAGCTCCTCAACCCACCCCCCCAACCTCTCCCCAGTCTTTAAACCAGAATTCTCCATGTGGGTTCCTTTGATGCTTTTGACTGCAACTCCCATCAACCCTATGCTATCTGGAGATGATGGGAGCTGCAATCCAAAACATCTGCAGGAAATCAAGAGTTAAACCTACCATCCATCCATCCGGTATCCCAGAGGCCACAGTGGCTTCTCCAGTGTTAGCATTCTCATCAAATTTATCTGCAGTGACGAAGTCAACAGGCAAAGTGATGCGTACACCATTCTTCTCTGCTTTAGCCATCAGGTCCTTGACTATTTTTGATCCTTCTTCATCATACAGAGAGTTGCCAATCTGGAAGCAGAAGACAATGCACTATGTAGCTATCTACAGATGTTTGTGTAGACTGCTACAAAGCAAATCAGAATCTCGAAAGCAAGCTATTTTTTATTATTAAATCCAAGTAACATCAACAGATAATATGGGTATGTTAAAGAAACTGTAACTAACAGAGGACAGAGAATTAATGCAACCTCTTAACTGCTGCCAGGATTATTATTTGTCAGAAGGGGGAGGGGCGGGGGAAAGATATCAAGAAAATCAACCCTGAGGAAATTGATAACTAAAACCTAGGACCTAGTACTATTATTATTTATTAAATTTGTATACTGACACCTGTAAATCTCAGGGCAGTTCACAACATAAAGCTACAACATGAAACCCACAAAATACTTTAAAAATATAAGAAAAAACAAAAAATCCCCCATACCATAACACATTTAAAAGAGCATTAGATGTCAATCAGCCAAAGGTCTGGGTGAAGAGGAATGTTTTTGCCTGGTGCCTGAAGTATAACTGAAGGCACATAGTAAGTAAGCATGGTTAAGCTTACATAGTGAAAACCAAAGAAGGCAGGTAACAAACAAATGTCTTCATAGAGAAATGAAGTCTTTTTATAATGTACTAGAATAATAAAGAACAGGATAATGTAAATCCTTTTGTGTTACTTGGAACCTTGTGATATTAATTTATTGTGTTAAGACTTTGTAATGAAAATCTTTTTTTCACTACAAAGTCTTAACATAATAAATTAAATAAATCCAAATTATGTTTAGTTCCAGAAATCTCTTTCTACTTCTATTTGGCATTTGTTGGTATACGTTATTATGTTAGGTAAAGGTAAAGGGACCCCTGACCATTAGGTCCAGTCGTGGCCGACTCTGGGGTTGTGGCGCCCATCTCGCTTTATTGGCCGACGGAGCCTGCGTACAGCTTCTGGGTCATGTGGCCAGCATGACTAAGCCACTTCTGGTAAACCAGAGCAGTGCACGGAAACGCCGTTTACCTTCCCGCCGGAGCGGTACCTATTTATCTACTTGCACTTTTGACGTGCTTTAGAACTGCTAGGTTGGCAGGAGCAGGGATTGAGCAATGGGAACTCACCCTGTGGAGGGGATTTGAACCGCCGACCTTCTGATTGGCAATTCCTAGGCTCTGTGGTTTAACCCACAGTGCCACCCGCATCCCATAACTTTATTATGTTAAATATATATAAATAAGAAAACACCAGATAAACTACATGAAGCTGCAGGAAAAACATTTTCAGCTTGTCCTCCGAGCGTTTAAGTTACAGCCAACAGCCAGAGATTTTACCAGCAGCCTAGCCTGCCCCCAAATCCAATGTCCTGTTATACACGATTTATTTTGCTCATGAATTTGCATCCAGATCTGTTTAGCAAATTTTAAGCCATAGAATGCAGTTCAAAAACTATTGTCAATTAAGATTGCACATATGGAACAGTCTTCCCCAAGCTTGTGTTCTCTGGAAGTTTCAAACTCCAATTCCCATCAGCCTCAGCCATCACAGCCATATGATGCTGGGGCGGATGAGAGTTGCAGTCCACAACACATGGAAGACACCAGCTTGGGGAAAGGTTATAAAGAAACAGTCAAGGAAACATAATAAGCATCTTTATCACCCAAATTATATATAGCAGACACTGCAGGTTGCATACCTTCATGTTTTTGAGCACTTTAAGGAAGGTAAAAGCCATTCCACCACCAATAATCATCTCATTGACTTGATCCAGCAGGTTTTTGATCAGCTGAATCTTATCCTGAACTTTAGCACTGATGAACAGAGAGAGGTTAGGGGAAGAAGAAAAAAATGTGAGTTGATGCACCACTTTATTAGCAGGGTTGTAGACAAGCCTACTATTGCCAAGTTTCACTTGTTATCAGTACCTAATACAGAAAAATAAATACAGAGAACAAATACATAATTATTGAACAATGAGGAAGTCACATGTATTGGTACATATGCATGATAATCTAATAATTCTCTTAAAGCAAAAAAGGGGATAAAGTTACAACTGTTAGAAGCCCACTCTCCACCCCTGCCTGGGAAAAAAAATTGAGGTTTGGCTAATGATTTGAATGTGTATCTATAAACACTAGATCTACAGGAGGTATCCAACATTTATTAAGTATGTGGTATGGTTGGACTCTTGTTCCAACTTCTTCCACTGCATTGGATGTTACTAGGATTTCATCTCATTTTACAGAAGCATGAAGCAATTTAACTCAAAGCAAAACAGGAAAAGTTGCAGCAAAGTGGGAAGGAAAATACCCAGGGTTTCCAAAGCTGGCCACTCTAGTGTGCTGCTCCCCCGCCCAAAAAAAAAAAACAAAACGGATTATGAACAAGGCACTGTCTTGTTTTTATTGATTGTATGTAAGCCACTCTGGGAACCTTTTTGGCTGAAAATGCTCTAAATAGTTATTTCTAAAAGATATTATGCACTACAATCATACCTTGGTTTTCAAACAGAATGTGTTCCGAAAGTCTATTTGACTTCCGAAGCATTCAGAAACCAAGGCGCGGCTTCTGACTGGCTTCCAATTGTGCAGGTGTGTCGGAAACAACGGTGGAAGCTGCATTGGATGTTTGGCTTCCAAAAAAAAGTTTGAAAACCGGAACACTCACTTCCAGGTTTCGATTGTTCAGGAGCCGAAACGCAAGAGTACCAAGCCGTTCAACAAGTACCAAGGTACAACTGTACTGGTAGCACTGGTTAATAGGAACACAGGAAATGACTAGCATGGATTCATTAATGTCAGAGTAGTCATATTCACTGGTCAATCTAGCAAAGTATACTCTCCAAGGACTGGCAGGAATTCTCCAGGATTTCAAACAGCGTTCTCTCTCAGCCCTACTTGGAGATGATAGGGACTAGGCTGGGCTTTTATTATGCAAAGCAAGTGCTCTATAAATTATTGAATTTATCACCCATCTTCTCACCAGCTGGTTTCATTTGACACCCACAATAAGGGGCTGACCATATGTAGTGTCTACAATCCTACCTCCGTTCGACTTCCAAAATGTTCGGAAGCCAAGGCGTAGCTTCTGATTGGTTTCAGATTGTGCAGACATGCTGGAAACAATAGCGGAAGCCACACTGAATGTTCGGATGGCAAAAAAACCCCAATCATTTCCTGTTTTTGATCATTCGGGAGCCAGAACGTTTGATTCCCAAGGCGTTCAGGAGCCAAGGTACAACTGTACACACTGAAGTTTTAGGTAAGAGATTAAAACAGCACACCTACTGTTTTTAACATTATGAATTGAGTTGGCACAACATGTTTAAAACTGGGGGAAGCAGGCTTGCTCCCAACCTCTGCGTTTTGGACTACAAGTCCCATCATTCCCAGTCAGCACAGGGAAGGCTGGCCTTTGGAAACGCCATTGAGAAATTTAATGGACTTCTGGTAGCAGCAGCACAGCAAATGAACAGAGATTGGTCAAGTCAAGA